GGCCTGGCAGGGCATGAACATATTTCTGTGTTCTGGAGTGCTTCAAAAGCTTTCTCTGTCAGGTTCCTGAGGTGTTTCTCTGCATGATTTCCTGTGGTCCAGCATCCCTGGTATCCCTCACTTTGTGCAAAGTGCAGTGGCAAAGAATTGAATAACTCACATGTAGTTTGAAAAGCTGTCTGTTTTCCTGAAGTGTGGAAATATGTCATGTTCTGGAAGTCACCCTCATTTACCTGAAGGAGGATGCCCTGGGGAATGGCCTTACCCTGGGATGTGGCTCCTGTGGAGCCCCACGGGATAAGCCATGGTGGGCTGTGATCCTGTGCTGGTCCATGCACCAATCTCCTTCCTCACCAACTCCAGGAGCTCCCAAGGTCACTCTCTGTACCTGCTGAGGCCTGTCAGATCCAATGGGCCCTCCAGGTGTTTTCTCTCCTTCTCATATTGAAAGTTTAGTCTTTTCAGATGACTTATTATCTCCCCCAAAATCAAAGTGAGTTCTCCAAAGAAATGTACCACAATTTTCCTTTGTTTTTCAAATTTCCATTCCTGTTTATTTCTCTCACTGCAACAATAATAAATATCACAGAAACAACAACAGGAAAGGTGGGTAAAGGGAATGTGACTGCAAATGCTCATTTTTGTCATGTGGACAGGAACCAGTCAGTGTTAAGAATGTCCAGCCAGAAGCAGTGTGGACACAGCCACAGGAAGACCCAGGCACTGGACAGTCCAGTTCACATTTCACACTGTATCTCCAGTATTTCAATCCATGAGAGTTACAGGATAAGGGAATTACTCACAGGCTGAGACATTTCGATAAATATCATTCAAGCAACCCTGCTTCAGCTGCTCTGAGAGATTCACAGAGAAAATGAAGGAATGTTTTCTTCTTTGGGCACCCACAGTAATTGTATCTGAGTCAGTAATCTCAGTTCTCTTTTCTCTTACCTCCTGATAAATGGAAGATTTTAATCCTGTCCTTGTTCCAGCCCAGTTCAAGAGCAGCAGCTCATGCTGGCTGAGGGGAGTGTCCACTGGTTTAAGCTGGTGACACAAAGGGCTGATTTTGGTTTCCTGCTGATATCAAATGTTCAGATATGATGTGAGTTCGGTGTCTCCTTCAAACCAGAAACACTTTGGCATTACTGTCAGAAAGGGCTTCACAAAGCACAGGTTTCACATGCAATGAATAAACTCTGCCAGGCCTAAATCTTTCGGGTGGTTCATAGCGTGTTTCACTTGATCCCAGCACTGCAGGGCTCCTCCAGATCCTCCATGATCAAATCCTGCTGGTTATTCACCCAGTTTCCTTTCTTAACTGGCTTCCTCTCCTCCTTAGCTGCTTGAGAAGATTGATCCTGGGGGCTCTGGCCCTGGGCAGCTGGCAGGAGGTCATTGCTTTGGCCTGGCTGCGAATAGACCTCCCTGGAGCAGAGCTGGAGCTTGAAGACATCCTGGAAGCCCCGGCGGAAGTTTTCATTGCAGAACCCGTAGATGATGGGGTTGACACTGCTGTTGAAGAAGGCCAGCCAGTGAGCAAAGGGGTAGATGTAGATGTTGATGAGCTGCAGCTGGAGATCGGAGAGGCTGGTGTAGTCCGAGAGCAGCATCAGAGTCCACAGGGGGAGCCAGGACAGGGTGAAAAGCAGGGTCACGACAACGAGCATTTGGATGACTTTCCGCTTCCTCCTCCAGGCACTGTGCCGCTGCTCCTGGCCGCGTTTCCCAGCCCCGGCCGCGTGGGAGAGGGCGATGCCGATCCGGGCGTACATGACGACGATGAGCGACAGGGGAGCCAGGTAGATGTTGGCAAAGAGAACCGTCGTGTAGATCTTCCTCATGGCCGGGTCGGGCCAGTCCTCCCGGCACCAGAACACCGGGCGGCTGTCGTTGCCGGGGCCCAGGATCACCCTGAAGTGCTTCTCCTCCTGCACCTGCAGCAGGACTGCCGAGGGACACGCGATGGCCACGGCCAGCATCCAGATGGCAGCGACGATGGCGGCGGCGGTGGGGACGGTCAGCTTCTGCTTGAAGGGGTACACGATGCACCGGAACCTGGCAAGGTGGCAAGGACACAGGGGACACGTGTGGGGAAGCTGGTCTGAGGAATGCTTCATCACCCAGGCAGGCATGCACAAGCATTTAAAATCTTTTTTCTTAAAAAACAAAAATGGAATTGTCTCATCCTCTTTTATCAGCAGCTGCCTGTGCTGCTCCACTTAACTAAGCCAGGTATTAACACCTCTGCTGTCCAGCTTAACAGCTGAGGGACAAACCAATTCCAGGGCAAACAGGATAGCCCGGCTTCACCACCCTGAAGAGACACCAGTGGAGGAGCAAATTGCTATGGCTGCTCCTTAGACCTATTTTGTTTGGCTTAACAGCCTTAGCAGAAAAATACATCTGCTTTACTGCACTGCTGGGTGAGTTAATGAACAGGCTCATTGTGCTCAGGGGGCAGAGGGGGCTGAGAGTGATCTTACCTGTCCACAGCAATAGCAACCAGAGTGAAGACAGAGGCAGAAACAGAGATTCCTTGCACCATCCCACTCATCTTGCACACCAGGCTCCCAAAGGGCCATCCTGGAAGAAAACAGGCAGTTGGAATTGCTGCTGTCTCACTGCAGGACTCTACTTAAAATTATTTTCTGTTGTCTTCCATTTCCAGAGTAGACTCCTGGAATGGTTTGGGTTAGCAGGAACCTTAAAGATCATCTTATTCCAACCCCTCTGCCATGGACAGGGACACCTTCCACTATCCCAGGTTGCTCCAAGCTCCATCCACAGAGCCCTGGCTTTCCCTGCCCCTCATGTGGCCCAGCCCACCTGCAATGATGTTGTCCAGGAGGGTGGTGGGCATGCAGAAGATCCCCACCAGCAGGTCACTGACAGCCAGGTTCAGGATGAACAGGTTGGTGACCGTCCGCATGTGTTTGTTCCGCAGGATGACAAAGCAAACCAGCCCATTGCCCACCATGCAGAGGAGGAAGATGAGGAGGTAGGAGGTGATGAAGACAGTAGCCACTGATGGCTGGTGAAGGTAGAAGTCCACGTAGGAGACGTTGCCTTCCCAGTAGGAGTACTTGTGTGTCCCGTTGTCATTCAGCGCGTGAGGCCAATCGAAGGAAGAGTTGGAGTCCATTTTCTTGCTCGTGTTCTAATGTGCCTTGAAAAATATTTGTAAAAAGGTCATTTTAGTCTGCTTGCAATTGACCCTTATGAATCTATCATTATTATTGCTGTCATTACCTGCTTTGAGCACACTGTGTTCTGAAACACATGCAAAACTCACATGTGCTCATCCCTCTGTGGCTTATTTTAACAATCCATGTTCTGGGCCTCCCCAAATAGGAAAAACAACAAATACTGCTTGTAGGGTTTGACCACACAGGCCTACAAAAGTGACCAGTGAGGCTGCTCTCTCCTACAGGCTCTATAAATTAAGTCCTTCCTTTCCTAAAAAAGGAGAAAGCCAGACAGGACGTAAACCAGCCCCTTGTGCTGCGTCAACTGAACAAACCAACAACCTGCACAGCTGATTTTGAGGTAAAAAGTAATCAGAATTCCTGAGAAATTCATTTACTCAACAGCTGGAGCGATCTGGCAATGGTGAGGTTGCTGAGCAACAATCACTGAAATAATCACTAATTTAATCACTGAAAACCAGGGATTAAAGCTTTCTGAAGTGGCAGAAGTCTTCTGCCTGCATGAGTCCAAATGCAATCCCATTTCATGGAACACGAGTTGTTTTTGTGTACGGTTGGTATTAGACTGTTATTGCTCACGAACCGTGTAGCTCAGAGTCTGCAGTCGTGAAGGACCAGCTGTGTTTGAAACATGCTCAGGTACAAGAGAACTGGAGTCACTTCTTAGCAGGTAACTTGACTTGGAAGCAAAAGAACAGCAAAATTAATCAGTGGCAGAAGGCATGAAATTAAAATAGGAGTGCAGGTGCCTTTAAAAGGACACTTCGAATTTCTTATTATAAATGGAAATTAAATTAAGGCATAAGTCTCCAAATTCTGATGGGCTTGTATGAACATCAAAGCTTCTGCAAGTGTTTTACTTTCAGGTAGCAGGCACAGTAGAAATTAATTTATTCTGCCGTGCCTCAGGTTTGGAACAGCAAGCAGTGAAAACCCACCATGTTTCAGTCTCTTGTGTCTGTTTAGAAGTCAACAGCAGTGCAGGGTTTTAAAGAGTCTGCTTTACATACTCATTAAATGCTTGCACAGCCAGATAGGGAGACAAGAATCTGGAATCTCTCACCAAAAACTGGCTGTTGTATGTTTGAATAAGTGTAGCAATAATTACATATTCCCTTGGGCTGTCCTTATGAAGAAAGGTTTATCTTGATTGCTTTTTATTCAACACGTTTTCAAAATTACCAAAATCGTTTCTGTTGAGATGTGTGATGTGCCAACTCCTTTCCTCAGCCAGAGCTCAGAGTCAGCTGCTGTGGGAAGTGGTTTTAATGCCAACTTTCCTCACCCCCCCAAGGCAGCAGCACGGGTGCACTTGCACCTTACCGTGCTCAGGATGGGGAACACTGGCAGAATGCAAATACAGATATTTGACAGTAGGACTTTACACTGTTCCTGTAATCCCAGACCTGGAGCTGTGCTTTACAAATTCCAGGAGATGCTGCCTCACTCAAACCCTGTTTAAATCTCAGCACCTCTTGTTCCGGAGAACTAGGCTTTATTTGCTGCTCTTCCCCAATATTATTATTATTATTATTATTATTATTATTATTATTATTATTATTATTATTACTGTAAATTACCACTCATTTTCTTCTGCAATCCTTTGCTTCTCAGAGGCGCTGCTTTAGCAAGATGCTCCAGCCTGGGGAAGGTGCTTTCAGATCTCAACACATTCCCAGTCCCCAAGCCTGGCAGGATCTGTGCTGTCCCCAACAGATGAGACAGAGGTGGCTTTCTGTCCTTACCTGCTCGAGTCTGGATTTTTGAGGGGTCTCTGGTTGTCTGAGGGAGAAGTTCTTTGTCATTCCAGAACAGAATTATCCATTGTCACACTAACAGCAGAAAAATTAATCTAATCATTATTTTTTGATACATATTTTGTGTTTTCTCTCTCTTTTTTTCTTTTTTTTTTTTTCCTGACATTGTGTTGTGAAGTAGCAGCTTCCAATCTTTTCAGTAATGATCCCTGTAATGGCTTTTGTTCGTAACTGATAAACAAGAAGTTGTAAACAGCCTCGAGGCAAAACTGAAGCTGTGTCTGCATGTCTTATGTAGCCTGATCTCAGTTGTACTAATGAAATTTTGCCTGTAGCAGACACAGAAGTTGCTGTACAAACACCACAGCTCTCAGGAAATGGAAAAGCTACACAGATTTTTATTATGCTGAAGCTGAGGGACCTGAGGATTGGCTGCAAGGAGAAATTAAGGCAGTGCCTTGTGTTTTCCCAAGGTCCTTGCCAGCTAAAACAGGCAATGATAAATAACTGAGAGAGGCACAGAAGACAAAAACATAAATGATCTAAGAAAAGGGAAAAAATAATACAATCCCTAAATATTACAAAATGATAAATACCAGTAATCTGCTTCCACACGATAATTTGATAAGGGCAAGGCCTCCCTTCCTCATTTAATATGCCAGAGCAAATCTGCAGTGGAGTAAAGTGAGACCCTCCCCACGTGAAAATCTGCCCAGTCCCACATTGGGTTTCCAAGCAGAGAATCCTCATTCCCTGCTGGAATCCCAGTCACAGCCCCCCTGGACAAACAGGCAGTTTAAGGTCTCATGTGCTGGCCAGGACAATCTCATACCTCTGGATGTGGAAAGTCATTTTCCCATTGTTACAATAACAGTTCAAAGTGATTCTGAAGTGATACAATTATGTTTATGTTGGGCAAATGAAGGAAATCCCCTGGAGCTGCCAACACTGCTTCAGGTCACTTCTGGGCACAACCTCTGGGTCTGTGGATTTGTGTGTGTGAAATCTCCCCACAGAATCCTCTGAGGCTGGAACAAAGACAAGGAACCTTCAGAGACAGGGGGAATAGGAGTGTGCTGTCATGGGAAAAAGAACATTTCATGTGGTGAGTGCAAAACCATTTGTTCTTCCCTTCTCCTGAGCTCTGTGCTCCGTGTAATGAGTCAAATCCAGAAATTTCCTGGGTACCTTGGAAAATGATCTCTGGTCTACTGAGATGTGGGAAAGTCCTGCTGGCAGAATGCAGCCCTTAAGGGATGGCAGAAAGAGCAGGACCTCAGTCCATAAGTGTCTGAGAAATAAGGAAGAGGTAAGTGCATGGATTATCCTGTGCCTCAGTGGAATAGGAAAAGCCATGGACTAAAAAACTAAAATGCTGTTCCACAGGGACCCCCTGCACAGCCCATGGGAATCAGGATCATCTTTCCTTCTCTTCCAGAGCAGGATGGGGCTGCAGCCACCCCAAACCCCCCATTCCCAGTTCCTGGGATCTGGCATGGGACAGGGAGCTGGGCAGGAACTGTCACTCCCAGCCCAGAGCACATGTACTCACCAAGATCATTCCACAGACAGAGGACAGCCTTGTCCCAAGCCAGGGTTTCATTGGAATGTCATCAGCTGCTTGGGAATTGCTTTAAGGTAGGATGGAACTTCATTAGGCACTTACTGTCTGTTTCCCACACGAGCACAACTGTTGGGTCTGGGTCATGCAGGACTTGAGCTGCCAAGCACAAACTCTGAGGGCATTTACGAATTGAGGTAATAGAACTTACTCTTCAAGTGTTTTATTTACCTTCTCATCCATCAGAATTTCCATAATATTTTTATATGAAATACCTCAGAGTGGTTTATCTCCAAATAAGCCTGAATATCCCAGCAGGTTTCAGACACCATGAGCTGTGGAGGAAAACAATCCTAAAAATAACCAATTGCAATGAAATAGTTTTTTCTTACTGACATTTACTTCCATGAAGAAAATCAAGTGCACGCTGAGAAGCCAATTTCTCAGGCTGAAATGGGCAATCCTAGGGAGATGTGCCAATTTTCAAGTTGTACACAGAGCTCTTCTCAATGGGCTTAAACTGCTTATCCTCCTCTCAGAGTCATTTATCTGCTTAGTCTGAGCTGGGACCAAAGAAAATAGTTTGTCAAGGTGTTTTGTTTTGGTTTTTTTTTTAGATCTTAAACTTTTCCTCTCCTGTATAGTTATAAAGAAGAAGGCTATCAGCAGGATGGCTGTAATAAATAAGACAGGACTGAGTTGCAGGTTACTCATCCACTTGAGCTGGGAATATAAAATATTTCACTGAAAAGCCAAACTCAAACGTAAATCAGGAGATTAAAATGACAGGTGAGGCATTCACAGTAAGTTTGTTATAGGTCTTTATATATATATATATATATATATATATATATATGTCATTTCCACCCTGCTTCATTAGAGCTGAGGCTGCTTACCTATTCCTTTTCCTTATACTCTTATTTTTCCTGCTTCCTGCTTAGTCAAACTTCAGGCTTCTGACTAGATTTATTTCTATTTGATGTGTCATAGCCTGTTTTAAATTTTAACTAAAATCTCAGTCACCCATTCCCTGGAATCAGGCTGAAGTAAGATTTCTACATCCAGTCAAACTTCTACAGCCACTTTATGGAGAAGCCTGGCAGGCCATAGGATTTTATCTGCCTCATCTTGGCAACAGGTCCCTGTTTTAGAAACTTTCAGTAGAGAATTACTGAAGTCCTCCTGAGATCCAGCCTGGAAGCAGCAGCTTCCCATCCATCATAGGAATCTGGGCAGGGACTCCACTAAATATTCTCTGGACTGGTCACAGCTTTTTCCCTGGAGAGATGCTCCAGCAGCACTTAGCAGGGAGTGTTGGGGATTAGTGAAATCTGGGATCCCTGCCGGGCCCTTTACAGCACTAAATTCCCCACTAATGGGAGATAAGCCTCCTAAATTGCCCCTCTCATCTGAATCACCCCCTGTCAGGGCGCTCAGAGGGAGGTGACAGCCCTGGCACTTGGGGCACAGGCAGGGAACAGGGTAATTGGGGAGGAGGTAGAAGGAGGAAGTGACTGGAATCATGGCTTAGGTAGAAACTGAAAAGTGGGACGGTCATGAGATAGTCCCAGTGGAGCATAAAATTGGCAAACAAAAGAAGTGCTTTAGGAGCCCATCAGTCAGTGAGAGCTAATTCACCAGGTACAGGGAGACAGCACTGTCAGCACGTAGTTTATGTCCCCCCCAAAATGGGGGGGTGGTGGCAGTGCACAGAGGACCCTGTAATCAGAGAAAGCTGCAGAGAGAATAACCAGGAAAAAACCCAAACCAATCCCCATCACAGCATTATCCCAAGGGTTCTTTGCACCAGGTGATGTCTGTGCTCAGTGTGAAAAATAAGCAAGAGCCACAAAATTGTTTGATTTAAACCTCTTTTAGCACAGAAGAGTCACTGCCCGCTGTGAGACGGGCATGAGAGCAAAAACACAGCCCGTGGTCTGAGCACGTGAGGGGTTTCTCCTTAGACCTTGTTACGATTAAACTGTGTTTTACTCCTCGCCCAGGTTCCCAGGCTGTGGAATATGGGATTATGCCTCACTGGGAATTAGGCAGAGCAGCCTGCCTTGCTCAGGGCAGAACAGGTGAGCTCCCTGTGCAGCACGGCGGGGTTGGATCCTCAACACTTGGCCACAACCCACATTTGTCCAGAGGCAACACCTTTAATGTTAAATAACTGTCCAGGCTACACAGGAGAAAGAAGTGTCTGTGGAGGTTCTAGCAGGGGTTTAACTGCACAATGGCACCTCCAGAAAGGGATAATGGGTTGTGGAAGGGCTGTAGAGCAGGGATGTGCAATGAGCTCTTCCTGTACCTTCCTACCTGCTGATTGTTCCACACGGGGACTTTAAGTGCTCACTAAGAGATTAACCCCTGATTTTTTTGTGAGCTGTTTTAAGGATCTGAATCCTTTTAGTGCTCCTGAATTCACATTTACTGCTGCCTCAGTCACTTGATTATCACTACACGGGGTAATTAACACCGAATTTTAAGTGTCATGCAGATAACACGAACAGGGACATCTAACTGATGTCAGAAATTTGACATGCAGAGAGGTTACCTCAGAAACCTCTTGGTTTGACTCCAATTGAAGCCAGTTCTGTTCAGTAAGGGACAGCTGCAACTCAAGTGTGCCACAGTTGTCCAAGCAGGAAGGACCGTGGAAGCAAGTTTTCCTTGGATTTTTCCTAGGATTTTCCATTGGAGAAAAGCAGCAGCACAGGTCCATTCCTTTGGCTGGCACATCTGCCAGCCTCGGGAAATGCTTCTCCTTTGCTCAGAGTTACATTCCATCCCCCTTTCTCCAGCAAAACACCCCAAACTGATCCCACTGCACTTTATACTTTGCAGCCCCCGGGGTGGTTCGGCTTTGAGGGATAACATGAGGTACCTCAAAACCTTCAGATATTTTTCTCCTACTGGAAGTGTCTGATACTGACAGAAAAGCAAAAGAAGATGAGGTAAACTTTTCTTAGGCACCTAGGAAACACTGAGTGGCCACAGGCTCTTTTCCCAAATCCTGGAGCTCTGCACAGGGGTTCAGCTCCCACCTCAGGTGGATTGACCCTGCCAGCAGCACAATGGTGTTTCCAGGTGCTTCCCCCACCACACGCCCTCTGTGGTCCTGTCTGGCCACACGACTGCCCTGTCCCTGCCAGTGGGGGCTCTGTGTGTCCCCCAGCTCTGGCACCCCAAAGCCACTGGGCTCAGAGGCATCTGCTGCCACCCCCATCCCCTTTCAGAACAGGAACTGCTCCATATTCCATCCTTGATCTCCCTGGGACCAGCTTCAGCAGCCCAGGGGTGATGGGGGGTTGTTGTTGCCGGGAGACAGATCCCTGGCATCACCAGGATTCCCACACAGTCAGTGTTGTGCCCCCCAGGAAATCAGGGCATCCCCAAAAGGGGGAATCAGCAGCCCCCCCTCTCACACACACACACAGACAGACCTGTTGCTAACAAAGCACCTGCAGTTTTCCCTGAGCTCCCAGCTCCAGCAGAGAGGCAG